AGTAGAGACGGGGTTTCACCATGTTGACCAGGATGGTCTCGATCTCTTGACCTCGTGATCCACCCGCCTCGGCCTCCCACAGTGCTGGGATTACAGGCTTGAGCCACCGCGCCCGGCCTCCTCTCCTCCTCTTAAAAACAATGAAAAGGTTGGCCAGGCGCGGTGGCTCATGCCTGTAATCCCAGCACTTTGGGAGGCCGAGATGGGTGGATCATGAGGTCAGGAGTTCAAGACCAGCCTGGCCAACATGGTGAAACCCCATCTATAAAAAGAAAAAAAAAAGAAAAGGTCACATTACAATATTCATGTACCATCTCAGAGATGAAATAGGACATTTAGGATTCAGTGTCTCAAGTGGGGAACTCTCAGTTTAGACATTGACTCAGCCACTCTTTCATCTGCCAACATAAAATTTTCAGCAGAAAAATCAAAGACACTAACCACACAGATAAAGAAAACTGCCAGGCGCAGTGGCGCACATCTATAATCCCAGCACTCTGGGAGGCCAAGGCAGGAGGATCACCTGAGCTCAGGAGTTCAAGACCAACCTGAGCAACATGGTGAAACCCTGTCTCTACTAAACAATACAAAAATTACCTGGGCGTGGTGGTGCATGCCTATAATCCCAGCTGCTTGGGAGGCTGAGGCAGGAGAATTGCTTTAACCTGGGAGTCAAAGTTGCAGTGAACCGAGATCACACCACTGCACTCCAGCCTGGGTGACAGAGTGAGACTCCATGGAAAGAAAAGAAGAAAAAAAAAGAAAGAAAGCTAACACAGCAAGCAACTCCAAATCAAATAAAATATCCTCAAGCATCTGGGGATATGAAATAAGGTCTCAAATTAGAATTACCAACACAAAGAAGAGACATGAACAAAACAGAAATCAATGTAACAGAACTTGATTGAACTCAAAAGCAGAGGGAGAAGATAACAATCCTCAGAAGCAAACACTAATTACTATATACCTGTAAGAGTGTATTTAGGTTTTCCTGTTTCCCCCCAGAGGTGGGCACAAGCCCCATCAATGAGTCCGCCAGAACTGGTTCACAGTCAGATCTGTCACTTTTGGAAAAGTCATGTAACGTCTGGGAACACTGTTTTGTCCAGTTTTCTCACCTGTAAACCTTTCCTGGGTTGTGATGAGAATGAAAACACATTATGCAGAAAGAGCGCTTCCAGGACGTGAGGGCAACCTGGCTGTGAGGTCTGTCATGCCATTCATCCCTGGGGCGAATCTGGCTGATCTGGCCAGCGAGGTGGGTGTCCCCTTCCTCCCTCACCGCTCTGTGTGCGTCCGTCCTGAAGCTCTCCCCTGGGTCAAAGACAGCAACCTTCCCCCTTAGAGGAAAGCTGTCCTTTGGTCACGGGCAGAAAAGGAGCTGTGCTCTCCTACTAGAACCTCCAAGCAAGTTCTCAAGAGTGTTTCCTGTAGTACCCAGGACATACACTGTCTGGGATCGTCTTAAATACTACCATTCCACCTACTCCTTGGTACGTGTCTGGTTCGTGTCTGGTCAGGAAGACAGGCAGTGGGCATGGTGGCTCACTCCTGTAATCCCAGCACTTTGGGAGGCCTAGGCAGGTGGATCACTTGAGCCCAAGAGTTCATGACCAGCCTGGGCAACATGGCGAAACCCTCTGTATT